AATTGGACAAATTTGGTTAGAATGCTTTCTTTTCTTTTCCAAGACAGTGTCAATCAGTGTCAATTCTTTTTGAAAGGGAGCTTGCTTTCTTACCTCCTTGACTCTCACTTTTGTTCTGTGTGATTTCCCCCACACTCTTCTAGATCAAACTAACCATAAGACTTTCCCATCCAACAATGCTTGATGGTGGCCAAGAGGCAAGAAAACACTACCGTTCTCATTTTGACTCCCTTTTCACCATGTAGATACACATAGGAAGTAGAAGCTACGTTGCTTTCGTTCAACTCCTTTTGTGGCCTCTGTGACTTCCTAGTTCTCCCTTAGCTGCTTGGGATTCAGTCTCAGAGACCAGATGTGAGTGTCAAAGGATAGCCGTGATCTTTAGTTCCTTTTTTTTTTTAATGTTTATTTATTTTTGAGAAAGGGCAAGTGGTGAAGGGGCAGAGAGAAGGGGACAAAGGATCTAAAGCAGACTCTGAGCTGATAGGTTGACAGCAGTGAGCCTGATGTGGACTTCGAACTCACGAACCACAAGATCATGACCTGAGTCGAAGTTCAGATGCTCAACTGAGTGAGCCCCTCAGGTGTCCCTCTAGTTCCCTTCTGAAGACAGGGCTCTTTGTCTTCAACTGAGGTTGAACACACTTGACTCTGTGAAATTCACATTTAACTAATGATGACTCTTCCTACCTAGAAATTTAGTTCAACACTCATAAGGCACTGAACTGTCATGTAACACTGCAATTGTCATCTTACCTATATCTGCAATATGTTACACACCCAAACTTCCACCTTTCGATTTCAGAAAGATCAGATGAAGTTTGGAACACTAACGGGTAAAATAGACAAATAAGAAGGGTTGAAAAAATAGGACAAGGACTTGGTTTTGCTCAGTAACTTTAGAAAGTATGTCTTAAATCTGGCATCTAAAAGAAGTCACAGGTAAAGGAAGAAATGAAGAGGCTAGAAATAAAGAAAAGTAGAAATATTATAAAGAAAATTTTATGAAAATTAAAATGACCAAAGGAACATTTGGTTCCAAGAAATAGTGGGGAACTATTTCTTGAGAAAATCCTAGACTGGTATCAAACCAATCATTCACTCAGCAAAAAATGCATTGCTGCTGTTTAACAGAAAGAATAGGAGTCAGGAGTCTTAAGCACTAAACAGGTTTTGCCATTAACTAGTTGTGAGAGTCTGGAAAGATCACTTAACATGTTGGGACTTCAGTTTTCTTATCTATAAAATAAGGAGGTTGAAGGCAGCACAAGGCTGTGCCAGGGATCAAATTCACTGTATTTTTTTTTTTTTTTACACTCATTGGCTAGTGAGATCCTATTATTGGCATCTTTTCCAGCTCTGTCTCTGGTGCCATCACATCAGTAGTTTGAAATCAACCATGGCAGGAATGGTATCCCATGGAAATTAGTAAGTGCCACAAACCAGGGCTTTTCTTCTGACAACCGGTTGTTAAGTTTGTCAACACACCATTGCTTATGAGCCAGACCATCCCGTTTTGAGCAAAGCTGCTCTGCTGAGGTCCAACCTTCATGTCTGAGCATCTCTCTTTTACTCTATCACTACTGTGACTATATCCCCACCGAGATCTAAACATTGGTGCAGAATGCCATTCTTCCTGCTAAATGGGTATCAGGGCAAGAAGGGTAAGGACTTCCCCCACCTCAAGCTTGGCCTCCTGCCCCTCAAGGTATGATGTGGTTGCTCATGGTGCTGACGATGTGGGCTGCTCTCCAGAGGTGGGACAAAGCATTCAGGGGTGAAAAAGAGAATTAAACACAGAACGTAGGGAGCCCTATCCATGGATTTTCTTAATGGGTAGGGAACCAGGGGATGTACAGAAAGGGGTGCCGGGAATTCATATGCCCTTTGTTCTATTGCTAACTAAGACTCAACTAACCTCTGTTCATGTGCTGCCTGAGCCAAGAGAAAAGGTAAAATCAGAATTATACGTTCTCAAGTTTAAAAAAAATTCTGTAAGGGGCTCCCTTACCCATGTTTTTGTTTGTTTCTTAATCTTTGAGTAATCATCTTCAGCACCTCCCTGCTTCCCCTGTGTTTGTGCCTCTGAAGAGGAAGACATTCATCAGAGTGAGGCATCCTGCTGTCTCAAGGAGGGGAAAACTCATCAACAAATTGAGAAACATTTCTTGCCCCAAAGCATTAAGAGGCACGTATAGGAGGATTAGGAGGAACTTAATTAAGGAACAAGGGGGAGAAGAAGGGGGGAAATGGTGGGGGAGAGGGAGAGAGGCAAACCATGAGAGACTCCTGAATGCTGACAAAAACTGAAGACTGATGCATGTGGGGGGGAGGAGGGATGGGCATGGAGGAGGGCACTTGTGGGGATGAGCACTGGGTGTTATGTGGAAACTAATTTGACAATAAATTATTTGTAAAAAAAAAAAAAAAAAAGAATCACTATAAAGAAAACTAGTATCTATGCTGCCCTATATGGTAGTGATTGTCCCCAAGGGTCTATCTACCGTTGAATGAGGCCAGTCTAAATTGATGCATTGCTGTAAGTATAAAATACTGGATTTTGAAAATTTAACTTTTAAAAAATGAATGTAAAACTATTCCTATATGCTGTATCCCAATTCATGTTCACTATTTTGGACATCTTGGGTTAAATTAAATATCTTCATGAAATCAATGTCACCTGTTTCTTTTTCACTTTTTCTAGTGTGGCTACATAATGTGCCTAATGAGGCTTCTGTTGGACTGCCCTGGGTTCGCAATCCAGGTCACACACAGAGCCCTTGAATTGTTCATCCAGATTCCGACTGAAGACCTTCAGAGACAGAGAACTTACGCCCAAGCAGACTACCCTATTTGAGATAGCACAAGTCTTAAGAGCTTTTCACTGGTTTTAGTTTTAACCTTTGGGGTCATGAAGAACACATGAATCCTCTTCCACAAGACAGATTTGCAAAATGAATACTGTGACGATGTCTAACCCCAACCCATAGTGCTCTCTCTCTTAGGCGAACCATGTCCTCCTCCAGCATCCCTTACACATGGAGAGATATGCTTTGTAGCCAGGAATAAGGCAGAGTAACTTCTTAAGCTCCAAGTCTCTCTCTCAGCATTGTTTCTTGGGTTACTTCTCTCTTAGATGCTTAATATACTGCTTTTATTGGATAAGTAATTACTACTGTGGGAATAAGAAGTTACTGCTTTTAATAGCTAGCACTTACAAAGCAATTCCTATGGGCCATCCTAGGTTCTAGACATTTTAAGGGTGCCTGGGGTGGCTCAGTTGGTTGAGCATCCAGCTTTTGACTTTGGCTCAGGTCATGATCCCAGGGTTCTGGGACTGAGCCCCACATTGGGCTCCATGCATGGAGTTTGCTCGAGATTCTCTCTCCTCTCTTTCTCTCTCTCTCTCCTCTGCCCTTCCCCCTTTCTCTCTTAAAAAAAAAAAGAAAAATTAAAATAAACAAATTACATTTTGCAACTCACTGAATCCTTGCAAAAACATGGGGTAGATAGGGGCTCCCAGCTAGCTCAGTCAGAAGAGCATGTGATCTCCGGGTCGTGGGTTTGAGTCCCACTTTGGGTGCAGAGATTACTTAAATAAACAAATACACTTAAAAACAACAACAACAGGGCTCTTGGGTGGCTCAGTCATTTGAGGGTCTGACTCTTGATTGCAGCCCAGGTCATGATCTCAAAGTCATAGGAGTGAGTCTTGCATTAGGCTCCACGCTGAGCACGGAGACTGCTTAAGATTCCCTCTCTCTCTCTCTCTCTCTCTCTCTCTCTCTCAACCTCTCTCTCTCTCTCTCCTTCCTTCTCTGTCTCCCTCTCCCTCTGCCCCTTTCCCCCACGTGTGTATGTACTCTCTCTAAAATAAAAATTTAATTAATGTCTTTTCAAAAATTTAATGAATGAAAAAAACAACAACATAGGGCCAAGTACCATTATGCTCCCCATCTTATAAACAGGGAAACTAGAACACAGAGTAATTAAGTAGCTTCCCGCCAGGGGCAGGATGGCTTCACTAGTGCTTTTATAATCACTGCTACTTAATGCTCTTTATGATTTCACATTTTCTGTGGTCAGCACTCTCCCTGGCGGCTGGGGCGTCCATGTTATCCGGTGTTCCCAGTTCTGCCCCCATGGGTACATGGAGAACATGAGCATCATTGGCATAGAAGGCGCACAGACGTGTGTGCTGATTTGGGAGAAAGAGCGAGATGGGGAACCAAAACTGCAAAGGTGATCCAAAGGGAACTGAGAATGCAAATTCTAACGGGCAGGCACTCTCATTCCAAAGTTTAGGCAGGTTGAGCCTAGGGAGATAGAAAAGAGACTTGATAATGTTTTTGCGAATTTGAAAGGCCGTGAATCTCTTCCTCCTAAGTAATCACCAGTCTCCAGGAAAAAAAAAAAATGGAGGAATAAAACAAGTATAAATCAGTTTGAACAACTTAGAAAACTGATAAGGACGAAATTTGTAGCTATAAAAACTATGGATGATTAAAATGTTTGTTCATGGGCAAAAAGACGCAGGGTGAAAATCTTCCGGAATCTACGATCCAGTCCTTAGACTCCCCAATGAGGAAAGACACCAGGACCACCACCACCACCCCCCTTGTAGCGAAAAACACTCAACAGATTGTTCCTTGCAGGTTAGACAGAAATACTGAGAAGTGCAAGCCAGACGCCACAAACCACAAAGGAAGTCCCTCTGAGAGCAGAGCAGGGAAGGGACCATGGTCACTGAGAGAGGTCAGGAGGAGACAGGGCGGTCTGTGGAGCCAGGTGGCACCTCTGGCCTAAGAAGCCACCTCTGGGCTCCAGGTCCCAGGCCCGGCAGCCAGGAGCAGGCGACCGGGGTCTCCCAGAGCTGGTGGCACAGGGGACTTTTGCGTCCCTCCTCACCGCAGGCCTTGAAAGGAGCCCATTAACCTTGACCCAAAAGGAAGGTGTGCCTCCAGGCCCCGAGTCAGAAAGCTGCCACTCGGTCAACTTACCCAACAGCTGCACAGCAACCGGAATGAGACAGAGGAAAATCAGGAGCAGGGACAGCCTCATGGCCCAGAGTTTCTCCTTTCCTTCCACTGATGGAGAGGAGGGGTAAGTAGGAAGCCAAGCAATGCTGGCTCCCGATGACCCCTTCCCCTACCGTGTTCTCAGAGTTCAGCCCTGCTGAAAAGACGTGTGGAGGAAACTCGCACTTTTAAAGGGCTTCTGAAATTAGGGAAAACCTCCAATAAGGAGATATCCTGTCACATGAGGGTAGTTGGAAAAACAGGAATTCAAAGTTACAACTTTGCTTTGTAAGCTAACTTCTGAGAAGAGCAGACACAGAGGGAGGGAAGAAAGGGACGCAGGGGGGAGACGGGTGGGGGAGAGGGTGAGGAAGGGGGGGCCAGTGAAAGGGTGATGGTGAGAAAGCAGAGCCAGGCGGGCGTGCTGGGAAGAGGAGAAGTGAAACAGCTTGGGGAGGGTGGGGGAGGGGCTCGGATGGGGCTAGTTCGGAGCAGGTAGGAGGCCATTACCTGGGCTGGAAAGCTGGGGGTCCCTCTGGGGAGCAGCTGGACCCATGGTCTCTCAGCAGACAACCCCACCCTAAAGTGACAGAAATGGCAGGCACTTAAAAGGACAGTTGGATGCTGGAGACATTTTCGTAAGGGCTGAAATAGGTCCCCCCTCATTCTCTACATTCACTGCTTAGAGTCTCTTTTTTCTTAGATTCAAAAGACACAGTTCTCACAGAGCTTTGTTGGTTTAAAAGCCAGAGGAAAAGTGAGAGACTCAGCAGGGCTGAGGAGGAGGAAAGTTCTAGAAGCCTTTCTCTAGCAGTTCTCTAGAAAAACAGAGAAAACAGCAACAGAAGATTTATAATAAAGCCTTGATGCCTTGTCTCAACCACGCTGGACCTCTTCAACTTTGGAAGGGTCCTCTTGGTCAGAGAAAATCTGTTCATTTGGTAAAAAGGATGTATATTTGTTACATGATGGGTGGAAGTCTTTCTTTAAAACCAAAAATGTTCATTAAACACAATATTAACCCCTAAATATCTATTTTTGTTATTTTTCAAAAGCAAAACATGAATGAGGAATATCTTGATGCAGATATCAGTAATTAGCTAGCCAACCCGCATCTGGAGTGTGGTAAAGATTAATAATTCAAAAATGAAGCCACTTGGGACGCCTGGGTGGCTCAGTGGGTAAATGGACAACTTTGATTGAGGTCATGATCTCATAGCTCATAAGTTCAAGCCCCGCATTGGGCTCTGTGCTGACAGCTCAGCCTGGAGCCTGCTTCGGATTCTGTGTCCCTCTCGCTTTCTCTGCCCCTCCCCTGCTTGTGCTCAGTCTGTTTCTCAAAAATAAACAAAACATTTAAAAAAACCAAAAAAAACAAAAACGAAGCTGCTGGAAACATTGCATTGTTTCTTTAATTTTAAACGAATAGTTTATCATCAAGTGGAAAGCCCCAAGATTGACCATCTTTGTGATAAAGTTATAAACTTTGCTTTCTAATAAGAAATGTGATATAGTCCCCTTACTGATTTTTTTAAAAACATTCTAAATTTAAGATTATTCTAACAGAATGTGAAAGGTGCTAAAAATGTAGGACACAGGACAAGGTTTTTTTGTTTTGTTTTTTCCCATTAGGCTAAGACTTGACTGATAAAAAAAAACTTCATATGAAACAGTACAGATGAAACAAAATGTTTCTTTCTAAAACACTGTTTCATTAACTTCTCATGAAAAAAAGATATTTTAAATGAGTTGTTCATGGCTTTTACATGAAAATAGTTTCTATAAGTTCACAAAAATTGGCCTAACTTGGACATATATAAATTTCAGATGCAAAGAAAACATAATTAAAGTCTCTCTACACCCACCCTTATGGCTTTTTGATTTATACAAAAGTGTCACAGAGCCCAGCAAGATCAGTGGTAAATCTAAGACTTTGAAACAAAAGGAAGCCAGCTGTCCCACAAAGAATTTACCCCAAGACCTTGACCTTATTGAAAAAAAGATTTACCAGGCGAGAAGGAGTGAACAAGGCAAAAATCAATCAATCAATCAATCAATCAATCAATCAATCTAGCTTTTGGGAGAGTGACATCACAGAAGACAATAAAACAGGAAGCTCTAGGACTCCATCATTTCACCTAAACACCTGCAGAACTGGCAGGTATGGTCTGAAGTAACTACTCTGGATCTCCAGACTCTAGGGGAAATCTTCCCTGGTGGCAGTGGCAACATCTTCCGTCTCCAACCTTTGTGGCTGGAATTGTGAGGGCAGCAGACTGAGTTTCTGGTGCAGCTTGCTAACACCAGGGCCTTGTCCTCCGGAATATCAGAGTGATGAATTCTGAAGGCCGATTGTTGCTTTTATTTGCTTTCATCGCTTTTATTCAACATAGTATTAGACATTCCAGCCAGAGCAATTGGGCAAGAAAAAAAAAAAGAAACAAAAACAATTAAAAGTACCACACTGGAAAGAAGAAGTAAAACTATCTCAAGAAGAAGTAAAACTATCTCTTTTGACAGATGGCATGATTTTATATGTAGAAAACCCTAAAGCTTACACACACACACACACACACACACACACACACGTGCACACACACACACACACACACACACACACAATCCTGTTAGAGCTAATAAATAAACGCAACAAAGTTGAAAGATACAAAATCAAAGCAAAAAAACCAGTTACATTTCTATATACTGTTAATGAAAACTCTGAAAAGGAAATTATGAAAACATTTTTATTTCCATGTCATCCTTGCGCAGGGGCCATGCTAATCTTCTCTGTATCGTTCCAATTTTAGTATATGTGCTGCTGAAGTGAGCACAAAAACATTTTTATTTCCAACAGCATCAAAAAGAATAAAATACTTAGGAGTAAATTTAACCAAGGAGACAAAAGAGTTGTGCAATGAAGGCCACATGACACGGCTGAGAGAAATTAAAGAAGACCTAAATAAACGAGAAGATATCCATGTTCATAGAATGGAAGACTTAATATCATTAAGGTGACAATACTATCCAAAGAGTTCTATAGATTCAATGCAATTCCTATAAAAATCCCAATGATATTTTTTGTATAAATTTTAAAAACCCTTCATAAAATGACATGAGTTCCAAAGAGAACCTACGTAGGCAAAACACTCTTGGAAAAAAAATAAAGTTGGAGAACTCAACGCATACTTTATGATTTCAAAATTTACCACAAAGCTGGCAGAGGGGAAACATAAAGACCAATAGAATAGAATGATAGCCCAGAAATAAACTCTTACACATGAGATCAACTGAATTTTTACAAGGGTGCCAAGACTATTCAAAGGAGAAAGAATAGTCTTTTCAACAAATGGTGCTGGGAAAACTGGGTATCTACATTACAAAAGAATGAAATTGGACTTTTACCTTAAACCATATACAAAAAGTAACTCAAAATGAATCAAAAACCTAAACTTAAGAGCTAAAACTATAAAACTTTTAGAAAAAAACACCAGGAAACATTTTTATGCCATTGGATTTGGCAATGATTTGGGGGTGGAGTGGATATGACACTAAAAGCACAGACAACAAAAGAAAATATAGATAAACTGGGATTCCTCCAATTAAAAAATTTTGTACATCGAAGGACACAAGCAAAAGAGTGAGAAGATGATCCACAAAATGGGAGACAATATTTGTAAATAAATCATATATCCAATAAGGGATTAATATCCATAAAATATAAAGAAGCACAACTCAACAGCAACAAAACACAATCAATTCAAAAAATGGGCAATGAAGTTGAGCAGACAATTCTCTAAAAAAGATACACAAATAGCCAATAAGCATGAGAAGAGGCTCAACATCACTAGTCATCAGGGAAGTGCAAACAAAACCATAATGCTGTATCACTTCACACCCATTAGGACGGCTACTATAAGAAAACAAAAAACAGAAAATAACAAGTATTGGTGAGGTCATGGAGAAATTGGACCCTTGTGCACCGTTGGAGGGAATGTAAAATGATATAGCCACTGCGGAAAATGGTTTGAATGTTTCTCAAAAAGTTGAACACATAATTGCCGTATGATCCAGCAATTCTACTTCTAGGTAAATACCCAAAAGAAATGAAAATAGACACTCAAATATTTGTACTCCAATGTTCATAACCAACATTATTCATAGTAGCCAAAAGGTAGAGGCAAGCCAAGTGTCTATTAGCAGATGAAAGCAAAAACCAAATGTATTGAATCTCTCTCTCTCTCTCTCTTTCTCTCTCTCACACACACACATATAGGAATATTATTCAGCCACAAAAAGGAATCTGATACCTGCTACGTGTATAACCTTGAAAACATTATGCTAAGTGAAATAACCCAGACACAAAAGGACATATGTTGTATGAGTCCACTTACATGATGTACATATTCATAGAGACAGAAAGAAGAGAAGTTACAAAGGGCTGGTGAGGAGAGGAGAGTGATGTTATTATTTAGTGGGTACAGAGTTTCTGTTTGGGATGATGAAACGTTCTAAAAATAGTGGTGCTACTTCTACAACATCGTGACCATACTTGAAGCTAGTGAATTGTACACATAAAAATGGCTAAACTGGGAAATTTTTATGTTATGTATATAGTGCATAACGTATGTATTTATATATTATAAGATATATTTTTTTTATTAAAATAAAATCCAACTGTTAATCACATACTATTAAGTTTTGGTTCTGGTTTTTGCTTAGCTGTTGATGCTGGTGTAACTTTTAACTAGCAGGTCCTTTAAGCTGAAACTAAGGAAACCTTTACTTTTTAATTGGCAAGATAATCACCGAACTATTTCATTTCCTCCTAGACATTCTCTTTCTCAAGCATTGCGTACTTCACACCCACTCAATTCCATAAAACATGACCTTGGTGACTCTTTTGCTCTGAAGCAGTTCCAAGAAAATTAGCTCAACACATTCTTTTTGTAACCTCTTCTATCATTTCTCATGGTCAAAACTGGCGACTGATTCAGAAGCTGGTTTTGCTTAAGCAAGCCCATCCCTTGATGGGCAAGTTTGTGCAAAGGAAATCACAGTAATTTCGACCCAGAAGAAAAAAGATGATGATGCCACTGAATACAAACTTAAAAGTTTAAAAGGATGGAACACTGTTTCTTCATATTCTTATTCTTCTCATTTTCCAGTCTTTACCAAAATATGTCAAAACATCAGTAATGCATTTTCAGTTTAATAGAAAACAACTGACTTATGACAATAAAACCATCTTCGTACTGGGTTCTTTATCTAAAAATTGACTTTAGGGGCACCTGGGTGGCTCAGCCGGTTAAGCATCCAACTCTTGGTTTCAGCTGCAGATCTCAGTTTCGTGAGTTCAAGCCTCGCATTAGGCTCTGTGCTGACAGTGGTGTCTGCTTGGGATTCTTTCTCTCTCTGCCCCTCACCTGCTCACGCTGTTTCTAACTCTCTCAAAATAAATAAATAACCTTAAAAAAACTTTTTAAAAATCTGACTTTAATGGTAATTCTCTTAGATAGAATATTTAGATCCACTGTAATATAAAATCTATACATGCAGACTATTTGAGGGGCCTATGAGGTTTACAGTTCTCCAGTCGGTGTTACATTCTGTATTGTTCAGCACTGCTCACATCTTTATAATATCCTTATTTCGCTTTGCCAAATAATTTCACTAGAAGGTTATATGACCCATTTAATAAGTGAAAAAAATTTTAAAAAGATGAAAAACATACTCTATGGTCTGAAGATGACCGAGACTTTATACATGGAAGTCAAGACACAAAAACATTAGATTTCTTCCCCATAGCTACAAACTGTGTAAGGTTACGTATAAATTTTAGCACTTCAGAATGTTAAGTGTTGTATCTCTTCACTGAAATACTCAGAAAACCCTGTTCTCTAAGGTATCTAAATCTTTATTTATTTATTTATTTATTTTTTAAATGTTTTATTTATTTCTAGGAGAGAGAGAGAGACAGCGTGATCAGGGGAGGGTCAGAGAGAGAGAGAGTCATAGACTGAAACAGGCTCCAGGCTCTGAGCTGGCAGTCAGCCCAGAGCCCGACGTGGGGCTCGAACCCACGAACCGCGAGATCATGACCTAAGCGAAAGTCGGACGCTTAACCGACTAAGCCACCCAGGCGCCCCTCTAAATCTTTTTTTAAAAGAAAGACATTATAGAGAAAGAAAGCATTTCTGAAAAATTTATTAATATTTTAATTTCAATGCATGAGAAATTAAGATTTGTGTGTATATATATGCAAACTTCCACATAAAATATTACTATAGTAAATATTATTCCCAAAACATAGCAAATCATTTTTGATAGATTTGAGACTATACTACTTCTTTCAAAAGATTATTTTTTAGAACACTTCTAAATTTACAATAAACTTGAGAAGAATGTACAGAAATTTCCCATATACTCTCCTGTTCTCACATGTGCACAGCCTTCTCCATTATAATCATCCTCTGCACTCTATTCATCTTTTTTTATTGTCTCTGTAGTGTTGCATTTTCTAGAATGTGATATAGTTTGAATCATACCGTATGTAATCTCAAACTGGCTTTTTACACTTAGTAATATTCGAGAAGTTTCTTCCATATCTTTTGATGGCTCTTTTCTCTTTAGTGCTGAATAATATTCCATCACCAGAATTACCAGTTTATTTATCGGTTTACCTACAGAAGGACATCTTTCTTGGTTCTAATTTTGACAACTATGAATGAAGCTGCTAAAAACATCCATTTTCAAACTTCTGCGTTGATATGAGTTTCCAGCTCCTTTGGGAAAATGCCAGGGATCATGACTGCTGCATGGTATGGTAGGAGTATGTTTAGTTTTCTAAGAAACCATCTTTCTATCTTCCAAAGTGTCTATACCAGAGCTCCTGGGAGGCTCAGTTGGTTAAGCATCTGAATTCAGCCCAGGTCATGATCTCATGGTTCATGAGTTCGAGCCCCACATCGGGCTAGCTGCTGTCAGCACAGAGCCCACCTCAGATCCTCCGTCCCCTTCTCTCATTGTCCCTTCCCAACTTATGTGCACGCACACGCTCTCTCTCTCCCAAGAAATAAATATTTTTTAAAAAGTGTCTATACCCTTTTGCATTCCCACCAGTAATGAATGAGAATTTCTTCTGCTCCACAGTCTCACCAGCATTTGGTGTTGCCAGTGTTTTGATTTGGTCCATTCTAACTGATATGTAGTGGTATCTCATTGTTGTTTTAATTTGCACGTCCCTGATGACATATGATCTGGACATCTCTTTGTATGCTAACTTGTCATGTGTGAGGTGTCTGTTCATCTGGTGAGGTCATTTGTCCATTTTTAAATTGGGTTGCTTGTTTTCTTAGTGTTGAGTTTTATGTTCTTTGTATATTTGGGATAGCAGTTTTTATCAATATGTCTTTTGCTAATATCTTCTCCTACTCTGTGGCTTGTCTTCTAATTTTGATACTATCTTTCACAGAGAAGTCTTTTTAATTTAATTGAATAAGTTTGTCAATTATTTCTGTATGGATCATGTCTGGTGTTATACCTAAAAAGGCATCTCTATACCCAGATGACCCAAGGTCATCTAGATTTTCTCCTATGTGATCTTCTAGGAGTTTTATAGTTTTGTATTTTCCATTTAGATCTATGATCCATCTTATCATATGACTTCACTCACATGAGGAATTTAAGATACTAAACAGATGAACATAAGGAAAGGGAAGTAAAAATAATATAAAAACAAGGAGGGGAACAAAACATAAAAGATACTTAAATACAGAGAACAAACTGAGGGTTGCTGGAGAGGTTGGGGGTGAAGGGATGGGCTAAAAGGGTC